AAAGTATTTTCTTAAAATTATTAATAAAATTAATATGAGTCAGATATTATGATGCTTTTATTTGATGAAACGAAAGAAATGCGCGAAATATACATCGTATTTGTGAACATTTATCTCTAGGGGTCGCCAAAAATTTTCTCTCTACAAAAGGGGTCGCAGTCGAAAAATGTTTGCGCACCACTGGAATAGACTACAGTCCACGTAGTTATTTTCGGTTAATACATACGAACAAGGATCGTGCTCACTGTATGTTGTAACTTATTTCGATTCACTACAGCCACTGATGATTTTAAGCTGTATTCTGTGGTCAGAACACTGAATTCTGTTTCACTTTAAAAGAACGGCTAGCACATTTGTATAATTATTCGAACAAAAATGTGAGAATAAAGCGTTAAGTAGATTAAACTTAGAAACAATAAACGAAAAGATAACCAATAAGTTATCTGAAAGAAAGCACTGCGCTTAGATCCGAGGAAAACTGAGAAAGGCTGATAAATGGGGTGGGATGGGGCTTTCTTGTAAGATTGTATTCTCTGATTTAAGACTAATTTGGCAGTGATATCTCTTTACAGATCACGAGGGTTCTACTTTTAATTTGCTGTAGGGAGTTATAAAAATCAAGCAAATTATATAAACAGGAATCGATTGAGATAAGTGGCTGGTTAAACGAATTATAAGGAACGCTGATTCATCGAGAAGCTGAAAACCCAATTAGTTTTAAAGAATGATGTTTGGAAAAAAAATTATGATTTTTTTATGATTAAGATTTTTCTAGATTAAATGCTAATTGGATTAAGTATATGGTCCGACTATTTAAAAAACTAGTAATTTAATTTTAAATCAAAAGACTGTATTGGGTTTAAATTAAGGCAATTTGGGAAGTAGTTAATGTCCAATTTACATTGGAATTTTTCTTACTCCAATTTTTGCAATTAGTTGGAAAAATGAATATAATTGGAATAATTAAATGTTCCACCTATTTAAAAGACTATTAAATTAATTTACAATCAAATTTGTTTCTAGATTTAAGATTGGAAAGTTAGGAAAGGAATTACGGTTTTGTTTACAGTTAAATTTCCAAGTCCTAGCAATAATTAATAGGAGAAATGATTCTAATTGGAATATTTATTAGTTCCGACCATCAAGAAGACGAGTAACTTAAATTCGTAAAATAATCTAATAAACGAGACTGGAAAGGGCAGTTTGGGAAAGAAATGGATGTGCGAGTATCAAGGGGCCATTAATGAGATTACAAGGCTGTCAAGTAATAGGTGTAAGTCTTTAGCGGGGATGCGGCCAAAAATGTCGTACGGTAAGGGGAAGCTGAAGCTAATATATGCAGGCTGTGGTCAAAAATTTCAAAACATAGCTCATTAGCAACATTGAGAATGGTAATAACAGCAGGATGAAACATGAATGAAATGTAATTTAATAATGCTCAATAGATGCCTTCAGAACTTAATGCTCTAAACTAGGAATAATTAAAATTGTAAAAAAGAAATCAGTTAAATACATAGTTAACTCAAGGCATAGTGGCATTATAAAACGCTTGCGATGTCGTGTACAGTAATTATACAGGCAGTAGTACTCTAATTAATAATTATAATAGTATGATACTGATTGGAAATTTTAAAATGCATTTAGATCTTGAAACCTTAATTTGATGTTAATGTAGTGGTTGCGTCGGAAATGATTAATAAAATAATTAATACTCAGTGGAAAGGCTAGTGCAGTAGTGATGCCATGCAATAGCAGTAATAATACAAAAATAAATATCGATGTTTAAAAATATTACTCAGTTGATAGTAAATAATGCCAGTGTATTAGAATTAAGTATAATTACATTTAAGTAATTAATTCAAATGATTTTAGGAGAAAATGTCATGATAGTCTTGCCAATGATCAATGGCGTCTATATAATTGTTGTAACAGAAAGCAACAGTAATGGCGGACATGAGCTGCGCTCGAAAAAGTTATAACAAATTAACCATACAGTTATACCGTATCACTTTGAATAAATATTCATATCATCTTGTGACATCACATTATAAATAGTAGAAATTCTTTTATTTTAGTAAGCCAAATGCGTTTTCGGAACGACGTCAGGTATCCATGTAATTACTTTTCCAAATAATTACTGATTTTTCGAACTCATAAATAACACGCACAACGCTATTAACGGAAGTCAGATGAAGATGGACAATTCGCCTTAAGCAGAGCAACTACTCAAAGCTGATTGAAAACATATGTTAATTATACAAATTATCATTTAGATACATAAATCATATAGCCAGGGAAAACTTGTAACTACGCGCACAAGAAAGAGCATATTTTTGTATCCTTGGCTTTGGTCTTTATGGGTTTATCATACACTCTCTGTAGAGCGACGTTTTGCAGACGAAACACCACCAACTGTTCCTCTTAGCATAGGGGCTAATCAAAAGCGTATAGTTTTCAGTGTTAGTTTCAATTTTCGAATCATCGTGATTGATTAAAGCTTTTATGCAAGTACCTGCATTAGCAGGGTTATGTAAGGTCTTACAAAATTGACTAATTTGAAAATAACGCAGTTTAACGAGATTTATTACAAGCAGTATAAGGTATTTCTCCCGCCATCCTAGCGTGACTTCATGGTGTAGATGGTTCTGCACGCTGGGCCTGTATTCAAGAGGTCCGTGGTTCGATTCCCGGCGAAGACGTTGCTAATTTTTTATCTTGCCTGCTTTCAAAAATCCTAATGTCTCTACAACAGTTAGTAGTTTTTGGACAGAAAGTGGAAATATTCAAATTAAATTGGAGTGCTAAGGGAATGTTGCAAAGTGCAGTTAGATTATATTTTTATGTACTTTTTATCTTACATAAGTATGTATATTTGTATGTACGTATTTATATATACACTGGGTAATTCAAACAATAATTTAAAAAATGTAAAACCAGGTAGAGAGAACGATTTCGTAATAGAAGGTTTGTGCCGAAATAGGGCATTGAAGCAACACAGGGGCTCTTTCATGATAGGAAAAGCATTCTGCCTGCCTAAATTATCATTCCACACCCAAATGTAGAGCAGAATGCATCAATGAACTCATCTATATGAATTTTATATATGGATCTGCGGACGGAAACAACATAGCTGCTCGATGGAGATACTCGGGAACTGCTTGCTGTAACTTCCATTGAGTATTCGCCATGTTTTTGCAGCAGCCCCATAGATAAAATGCATGTCGGCGAGCTCCGTGTTCGTATAGCGATGCATTCAATTCGGACTCAATATTCGGACGGGAAATGAAAGTTTACCTCTGTAAAACGCTTTTTTTTACTCTCCAACTGTCTCCTACCGCCTCTAGGCGCCCTTTTGGGCATACACATTTCATTAGAAAGTCTGCCTAATTCGAACCCCTCTACTTTTGCACCAGACATTTTTGAATCACCCTGTGCATGCCATGATAATTCTTGATGATGTAAATGTTGCATGTTGAAGCTTCCACAGATCATATTTACTGAAGTATATTTAGTTGCATAATAATAAAAGGAAGGAAGAAATTCATAGATTTCCACATAGTCAGAGGAGTGTAAATAACTCTGTAGAAATGTTAATAACGAACAGAAATGGAAGACATGACGCTAACAACATAGAGGCAAGTAAGGAAAGAGTGGAAGATTACAACTTAGAAGATGAATAACAAAGTTATAGTTTCGATTTAGTTCTCTTAATTAATTAAGGTTTTGATTTGAAAATTTATAGTTATTATTGGATTGAAGCCTTTGGATATAATATAAGAATTATAAAACGGGGATTAATCTTGACTGGTACACCAGTCTACTATTTAACCAGTTTCTCCGCAGAGCGGTATTCTGCACATGGATGTCCTATTTTCTGCGAAGAAGAGCACAAATTTATGTATTCCGAAAAGCAGAATTTTGTGTTCCAGAGAGCGTTGCATGGCATCCCAGATCTCCTATATGACTGGATAACGTTGAGATCTAGTGACTTAAGTGGACATGGAAAGATTGTAACTCATATGAGTGTTCTGGCCAAACTCTGGCGTTTCTAGACTTGGTGGCTGTCCTCCAGTGTACTAATCTAAACTAAATTTCCAGGTATCCTGCCGATAGTGGGCAAATCTTTCAGAATGATTACATGATATGAAAGGTTATTACCCGTCAGATGAGAAGCGAGCAAAGCTTTCATCTGTAATTTCCTAAATATTTCGGCTCTTAATTAAAATTCTCACTTCTCAATTATGTATACTTGATATGAAGGTCATTCCCAGCGAATTAAGTGTTACGCAAGTTATGGCGTTCTTAAGGAATAATGAGTAGCTAAACAACAAGATCTAGAAATTTAATAATACCACAGTTTTCAGATGAATAAAACTAATTATAAAACACAAAAACGTGTTCTACTGCGACAAAAAGTAGATAGTTTGCCTACAACCTCCAGCATTTCACAAATGTAGTTGCTCATTTCTTTAAATCCTGGAAGCTGTTATCACTTAGTTTTTGAAACTGATAAAAGTTGGTTTATATATCGTATCTCAGTTAATACCATGTTTACATGCATATTTCTTTCCATCGCATTGCATTTCATCTTGTTCCTTCAGCAAGATTTATAGCAGCAACTGAAAAAGGATAAATAGCTAGCCATGTACTAGTGGTAAAAGAGGGAGTAGCATCAAAAGTATCAAATATAATTCTCTTTAAACTATAGAATTCAATAATGCTAGTAAATCTGCTCATATGTTCTTTCTAATGTATTAAATTATTCCATTAATACTCTCTTTATAAATGGTATAGTGGTATATACTAAGTTGATTTTTTGTTTCTATTTTCAAAAATTGTAAAATCTTGTATTATCTACTACCCCTAGCACGAGATGTTTGAGTTTAGACCGTCAGCAATGCGGAACAAACTCTTTACCAAACAGAATTATTTATATCAATATATGTTACATTGTTTATCAAGAATAAAGCATTTAGGTTAAAGTAAACATCAAATTTCAGATTTCGAGTGGAAGACGAGAGCAAGCAGTATCGACTTTCAGTTGGTGAATACCAAGGTAATGCTACTGATTCGCTGAGTCTTCATGACGGTAAATTATTTTCCACGTATGACAGAGATAACGATGAAGTTGCTGCATGTTGTAACTGCGCGGATACCTTCAAAGGTGGCTGGTGGTACTACAGGTAGGTAGCTTATATTGCAGTAAATCTTCATGGTATATTATTTTGTTGGTTCTGTTTTGTAAAAAAAAGTTCTTAAAAATATTTTGCTTTACATTGAAGAGGTTTAAGTGTTTGCTTCAGATATTCTACATGGTAGTACATATAATGTGCGACAAGGATATATTGCGATTTGGGGAGGTTAGGAGAAACAAAATATTGTTTCAAAGATTGTGGCATACTCATTTGTTCAGGAGACATGTGACTTCAGAGTCCTATGCTGACACTTTTTGCTAGGCGAATGAAGGGAACCCGTGGTGTAGTTGCTGGTAATCAGTGTCCTTCATGATGTGGCTTAGCGTATGTGTTCAAATTGTCAATCATTGATGTGAATAGGAGCGACATTGCATTTCTAATAGAGATGTTTAGCACATTCAAAGATGATTTGCATCGAGCATCCTTCGAACGCTGTCAAAAGTCATGTCAAATGTTGCGATTAATTTCTCGTTAGTGTTCAAAGACTCTTGGTACACAGTTGCTGTACAATGCTTTGTAAGATGAAATCATGAATTTCACCGATTTCAAGTCTGGTGATCTACAGACTCCATGAATAAGTTACAGGCGTCCCTTCACTCGAAGGATTTGAAATCGCGTTATCTTCTGAGCAAAGTGGTCTACTGAAACCATTCGACCGTGTTTCATTCCTTTTAATTTTCTGAATAAGTCTTGTAACATTGTCGCATTTGTTTCTGGGGCTCTCTGTAATTATTGCTTGATTTTTCTCCGATGAAATTATTGTTGAGTGTATTTGATGAAATTTATTTTATTCCTCCGTAATTAATGCTTGAAAAATTATTTTTCAGGTGTTTTGAAGCTAACTTGAATGGCCCTTATCATACGAATCCTACAGAAAATGGTTACTTCCTTGGAATAATCTGGGAACGATGGCAAGGAGATTATTCACTTAAGTCCTCAGAGATGAAAATTCGGCCACTCTCTTTCGATGAACCCCAAGATCCTTGAATATACTGATGATACGACGCAAGTTTCTAGTCTTCCATGGCGTCGCAGTTGTTATTTATTGGAAACATCTATGTCATATGTTCAGTCATTTGAGGTACAGTAAAGAGCAAGGGATACTTGTAGGAAACTCTAGGTTGCCATTTTGTTAATGATGACAGAAAATTAAAAAAAATCTTTTCAGAATTGGTATTTGGATTTTAAGGCAAACCGTTTGTCTAGGAAGGTGTTAAGTTGAGGTGACCTTTCATAAATGAGAGCAGATATCGTAAACAACTTATGTGCCATTTTTCAACATTAAGTCATGGAATTTTACAGCACTATTATTGGTTATAGGTTACAAACAGAGTGCATTATACTGATAGGACAATAAAACAGGTTTCGTTGCAAAAGTATTTCTTCTATTCCAGGAAACATATCCAAATAGTATTCATATTTCTCATTACGTATTTGACTTTATTAAAATGTGTTTGATATTTAGTTACTTTTACAGTTTTTTTATAATTGGGTAATATTTTGAATGTTGACTACGCCTACAGTTGGATTAGTGTTTTATTTATAAAAGATATCGGTAATATTGAGAGCCAGATGCTTTTATTATAGAGAATATAGAATTTTTTTGAACTCCTTTCGAATTAATTAATATCAGTATTTTAGAACTGAAATCTGATACCAGATTCTTCATTAGAATGCGTGTTCCTTCGCACCAATAATTCCTGAATGCACAAATAAAGCGGAAATTGTTAGTAAGATTTGATTAATGTATTTTAACCGAATAGAATTTAGGTCACCTAATATTAAACATTGAAGCTTCCGTGTTAAATGTATACATACGTAATCTTCATAAACAATGTTCATTTTTATTCATTTTACAGCTATCAAAAGTAGTGTCAAGGACATTGCTTAGTTTTAAGTGCTGAATTAAGAATTGTGAAGTGTCTTACCTATCTAACTGCCAGTTGTACATTGAGAAATATTTTCAATTAAAACACATCCCACGGGCTTTCGTGTGGCAAAATGAACGAAACATTCATTTTCATCGAGGCCAGTTCCAGAGGTCTATCAATCGAATCATTCTCTATTATCAAACGAGTTCTAAGTTCCTAAGAGGTATTTTTAAAGCTATTACTTGTTTGAAATTTCATTCTAGCATTTATACAGAGAGAATATATGCTATGGTGATTGTGAGCAGAACTTGCAGGATATAAGATTTTAAAAGGCGAAGTAACATTAGACTGTTATTTGTTTAATAAAACAATGCAAAGTTTTTAATTACATGATCAGCTTAAGATAATGACTATGGAAAAATTTAAAACTTCTACGAAAACAAAATATTGTAAACTTTTATTTATTTGTGCACACAATCACTGCTGTAAATGTCGTAGCAAATTTGAAGAATAAAATATATTGTTGCCAGCTTACTTCACGAAATTTTTTGTAGCTTTATTTATAGATTTAAAGCTTCATACTTCTGATTAAAATTCAATATGCATTCATTTTATATTCATTTTCATTAAAATTCCATATGCATTCAGAAAAGGTAAATCTATAATTTTTTCTTACAATTATATCGGAAATAAAACATTTTATCTGAAAGAAGGTAATTTCGGTTTTGGTACTCCAATTCACTATTTTAGATTTTACTCTATTTCGCTTCGTATGCTTAGTGAAATATCAAGATTTTAGACATTAGTGATATAATTTCACTATAATACCATAAAAGCTTCACATTATCAAACCCTTAAAATGTAGTGACAAAATGCGCTTTTTTTTATTTGACTAGCTACAAATAGTATACAGTCATGAAACTAAACGGTGAAAACTTAAGAAAATAATATAAATATTTTTGATATTATGTATTTGATTTTTCATATAAACTTTACATTCGGTGTGAAAAGTTACATTTCATGTTTTCTCTCAAACCATCATTGTTAACGTATTGTACTGGCTGGGAATATCAGGAAGTTTCTGATGAGTACTAAGGTCTAAAGAAACATGTAGCTTAAAAGTCATAACTGGGAAACACGATTTTATATAATATGATTTTATTTTACTGGCATGTAAAAGTGCATTGCGAATGATACCACAATGTACAGTTTAATGTATCTAATCATAATGCACTTCATTAGCAAAATGGATTTCAGACGCTTCAAATTTATTATATAATTTTTAATATTTTCTGAAGCACAAATGTAACAACAGCGGAAGAAAATTCTTTTGCATTAATGAAGACAGAATGTACTAAAACCTTTTTCTTAGCTTTATCCTGTTTACTTACTTGTGCGATTCCTGAACTTGCATGTAGAATTGAGATAGTACAGTCGATCTCGCAATTCTTAAATCTTTAGCTGGGACACTTTTCCTCTCGACCATAGTGTCCTCTCGATAAACCATAAAATGGAACTTAGTATTAGACTTGATTTAACTACAAAAGTCTTAACATCACAATTTTATTATTTTCTATTCTAAATATCTATAAAATAGTAAATACGAGAAAGTTTCACTGAATTTAAGGTACCTGATTAGAATTGAATTGTTGATCTTCTGACCTTGGTTATGGCTGCACTCGACGAGGCATAAATTCAAGAAGACTACGGAAGTCTTTCTGAGGTTATGGCCTTGCTGTAACGGTACCAAAGGACTTAAACATTGCCAACAGAAAAACCAAACTCTATCCCTGAGCCGCCTTGACTTTCTACATTTTGTCAGGCGTGGCTTCATGGATACGGCTGCATAGCTTCATGGCGCTGGCACCGTATTTTTAGCTTGCCATGTGTGCTATATCGAGACATGTCACTCCGTAATACTCACCTATAATCGTCGATGGTCCAGTAACCGTGTTCTGTGTCCCATTCAAGATGTTAGCGCGGAGCGTTCTAAGTCTTCGGCTTCTGAAGCCCATACGTGAAGGAGCGGTTTTGATTTTCCGATTCCAGACTACCCTCATTCAGTTGAGTGATTAAATGAGATAACGTTTAGTGTCTCTAGCTACATATGGTATGGTTGAGTCTTCAAAGATCGCTATCATCCAAGGCCTCTTACTTCTTGAAGTTTGCTAAATGACCCTTTTTCCTCTATCTGAGTTTTCTTATATATTCTTGATACCGGAAACGAGAAGATACCAATTTTCGAGCTAGCTCTGAAACTGATTGACACATAAGTTGAAACCGTATTATTTGTTCTCTATCAAAGGCATCTAATCCGCGAGTTTTTAGCATCGTGTCATTCTTAACAGTTGCTTAGAGAGAATGGATAGATATGGATATATAATAGGTGTGCAAGCCTCTGGTCAGATTGGGCCGTCACTCACTGAATAAGGATTTCCCTAAACTGCCATGACTTTGATGTTCGATGAGATGAATATTCTAAAGAATAGGAGATGAACGAAGAGTGGACGCCTTTGCCCTGATGCATTGATGACTTTGGGAGGTAGTTCTAGGGATAATATTTCAGATATTGCTTTGAGAGGGCTGAAAATCTGCTATATATATATCTTATGGGAGCGTTCTCACATGTGCAGAGATGAATCCGCAGCGCCAAGATATTCGCACTACGTTGTCTACTACAAATTTAGTGGCACTTTACTGCATTACACAATGTTAGCTTCCTTATCAGTGTAACATTTAGAAATTATACCATAAAATGTTTGCAAATCTTACATTATCGAAGTTCAGTAGCTAGATTAAATAATTTGAGAGAAGTAACCCCTCTTACCAAAGAGTGTATATTTAAGGAAAGATCCAGTAAAATTGTTTATGTATTTATTTTTTATTATCTGCAAAATAAAAGCACCTTAAATCGCAAAAGTCATTGAGGTAACTACTTTGAAACATAATAAAAACTCTATTAAAGTAAAATTCCTGTCAATTAAGATTCGAAATAGAAACGAATTAAGTATACATCGAAAACAAAAAAGAGGGAAAACCTCAGAACGCCTTCTCTTTACATCTAAATCATGTTTTCATCATCAAGTCATCTGGTGGCTCTTTGATTAACTAATAATATTAATTGGTTAGAAACATTTTTTGACGGTAGTATAACTCTTTGTGAAGAAAACAGAGCTTCTGTGTAAAGAAACTCCTTATTGTGTAACTTAAACCCAGATGACAGTGTAGATTATAATATGTACTCATCACAGCACCAAATCTGTAGCGATCCACTTTTATTTACAGTAACACTGGTGAATACATGAAAACATTTGCGAAATAACTGTATCATATAAAAGGTTTCCTTTTAATAAATATTGTCTTGGACTTTTACAAATATTGTCCTAGAATATTTTAAATATTTTTTACGGTGAATTGAAAGTTTGTCTTCATATATATGAAAAATAAGTGTGAAATGCATAAGCCTGAAACAAGTGTAACATTAAATGTGAACTATAACATCACATTTTTGCATGTTCGTTATTTTTCCATTTGACGCAAGAGAATGAAACGAATGACTTGAACGAATGACCCATTTGAAACGAATGATTTGCGCTTGTAAGGAGTATATATATATATATATATATTTAAAGAATATGATGTGAAAATATTTACTGTAGATTTCAATATTTTCTTGATGCATTTATCTTATAACCTAACTTTCTTTTACAGAACATAGGATTTTTAGTCAGAGATCGGATAAGAATAATGGATTAAGTTGAATAACTAGGAAATACAGTAAATGCAGTTATATTTCACATGCCTAGTAAGCATTTTAAACGTACAATAAACTGCCGATTATCCAGCGGCTAATTAACTGGGTTGTGGATTAACCCGGGACCTGTCTAAAAAAATTAAACTTATTTATTGCGGGGTAATAGAAAAATTGTTATCGAAAAATATAATCAATGTAAACAAAGGAATCTGTTTCCCATATTAAGCTGCCAGAAAATATAGGTTAATTGTTTGGTAAATGTAAGATGGGTTATTTCTTTTCCCTTTTTTTTACGTACCATTGTATTTATCAAGATTCTGAATTAACCAAGGATATCGCCTCCGGTATATTTCCAAGTTAATATAACCTAGTAAGCAGTAAAATGCAGGATTGGAAGAAAGAGCTAATTCCTGCTGCAAGGTGGTACCTCTAATTCTTAGACTATATAAATCTGCAAAGGTTTATCGCTGCTTCGAAATGCATAACAAAATTATCTGATTTATAAATATATGATTTATAATATGCATAACAGATTTAAGTTCCTGTAGTTTTATGAATACAAATCATGCAAAAGACACTTAACCTACATGTACTGATTTTTGTTCATTAATTGAGAGATCGTGTACAATATTCAGTTAATTTGCTGAACCTGATAAATGGAATAAGCTTAAGGTTAAAGACAATGTAATGATTTTGCAGATGTTTCCAAAATAATATATATATATACATATGTTACCGTGAAAAACCGAAATTGGAGAATGTCGACTTTCACCAGAGAATGTGAACTTTCACCAAATACGTCGGTGAAAAGACCGAATATTGCATTACATTCTTGTACATTTCGGACCCTTCACCGGTGCATTTCGACAATCACAGATATGCTCTGGTGAAAGTCGAAAAGAGAGGTCATAAAGTGGCCATAATAGTTTAAGTTGTTGCAATAAATAAGATTTGAATCACATTAGTAAGTTTTTTATTACTTTATTTTATTTTCTCATTTAGAACGTACTGTATAATTAAGTAAGTTTTTAACTTCTATTATTTTCCTTTCTCATTTTGAATGTATTGTGTGTTTTAGGTTCTCATTTTCTTAAGTTCTTATTTCAAGTCTCAAGTGCGTTTATTCGCACTGAATTACGGAGAGGAAAATATAATATTGTTATATGTTCAACATTCACCATTAGTACATGGTGAATGTCGACATTGACCGGTGTAAGTCAGAAATAAGAGTATTTGGAAAATATTTCGGACATACACCAAGAGACTATGTGAATGTTGACATTCACCAGTGAAAGTCGACATTATCCAGATTTCGGTGTTTCACTGTAACACATACATAGCACTACTAACCATTAGCAGATCAGAACGGAAAACGCGTCCATTCCTGCTGTAGGTTGTATCACCATTTTCTATATAGTTTCTATATAGGTGCAAGATTTTTGTTGCTGCTGTGACCCTCAGAAACAAAATGATCTGAATAGCTTTCAGTATACGTAAAAAATTAAATTAAAACGCTTAATATGAAGGCAAACTTTTAAGTAAGACTTGTTTCGGCTTTTGAAATTTTGATCATACCATAGAACGATCCTGAGCGCATGCTCGCGACATTCTTTGTCTTGAATCCAGCGCCACTTAATTTATGTAGTAGGTCTGTATTCTTCGTAGTTGTGAGGGTGAAGTGTTCAAAGAAAATCATGCACCTTACCGATAGTGAATTATAATCACATATTGGGTTCTTAACAGCAAGAAATATGAAAGCAGCGAATATTCATCGCCAGATATGTGAAGTGCAAAGTGATACTGCAATGAGTGGTAGTAAATTGTGAAATGGGTAAGATTGTTTGAGGAAGGTCAAGACATTCATGGAAAAGTGAAAACAACCGTAAATAACGCCGTAGAGTATCATCACAGGTGACAAGAGTTCAATGAGGAGGTTGTGCTAAAAACTGAGTGTTCGTTATGGTAGCGATTTAAACGCACGATGATATTAAGTAGAAAAATAGAGAACTGTATGCAAATTCAAAAAATAAAAGTGCTTTTGAAAACTATTTTACTTGATTCATTTTTATTGCAAAACTGACCTTATTTAAGAAATATCGCTCGTATTTAATAAATATATAAACATATATTTGTGAAAATGAAAAATTTTTAGGGGGGGTAGTGGACCTTGAAAATAGTTTCCTTTAGTTAAAAATTTCTACAGCTGCATTTTCTCTGAAAACAAAAATCACTTAACTGATTATTAATGTTAAGTTTCTTATTTTTATGATTAATAACATGTTTCCGTCAGCTGTTAAAAGTTTTTTAACTACACGTCATAAAAATTGTCTCAGAAAACATTTATTGTTTGGTTTAAATTTTAAGCACATCTTTTCATACTCAGATGTTTGGTGCCATTTTTCACAATATAGTGGACATTTTATTTTATACAGATACTCAAATGAAGAAGATCACAGGGTAATTTAATGTCAAGATGCGCATATGTGTGAAAATTATCCATCAAGGTTAAGTTAAAATTTTTACATGATTTGTTTGATGCTAAATTACGATTTTTCAAGAGTAAACAAACTTACGAAGGCCATTCAAGCTTGAAGTATTTACAGTAATAAACATGAAATAGAAAACAGAAACAAAAAAAACATTTTTCTACATTTTTTATTCAAAGCAAGTCAAATATGTAAAGCTTTTGTATAATTGTAAAAATTATCAACAAAATACATTTGTATAATATTCTGTAAATAAGTACATGGTTGGTAGAGGTAAAAATGTATAACAGATAAATTCATAATTGAATTCAATATAATTTTAAAGTATGATTCACACTGTTTTATAAATAAAAAAAAAAGTTCTATTTTAGCTAGAAGTTTTCACACCTGTCTTGAAGGAATTATCTGTTTAAAGTAGTATGTAGTCTGCAGTAAATATTTTCTGAGCGCATGTGTAATATATATAGTCTAAAAGAAATTTTCTTCAAAAGTAAAAAAGTTTCAGTACACTGTGTTGACATCACTGCTTGAAATAAAATTATGTATATGAATTACCGTTTTATGGATGCATAGAGAAATGCATTGCTGATGTGTGAATGTTAATAATAATAGAATAATCCTTAAATAAACGAATTTTCAAAGGTAAAGAAATGTTTTGAAGCTTATTATTTGCTAAAATTATGCAAGATTCAGTCCATTATTCTTACAAAAAATGTAATGGACTTCTGTAAAAATACCATTTCAGAAAAAATATTTTAGTACTAGGATGCAGACTGATTTTCAGATATTAAAATATTGTGCATCGCTTTATTAAATAGAAGAAATTAATCAAAATGGAAAATAGTAAATCTCTTTAGATAGAAATGTGAGTGGGTGAGAAAAACTAAAATATTAAGTTCGTTAATTTATTATATGCGGTTCATATATGCTTTATAAGCATATTTTTATATGCTTGTTAGAACATTAGTCTTGTGTTTTAATTATTGATAAAATTCTGCGTATTCTGTGCTAAGTACTTGTTTACATTCATGTGGTAACACAATTCCATGGAATTAAAACAACAGATGAAAATCTTTTTCTGTACCTAAATTATGTCATTTTGCATCACAACCTTTCTTATCAGTTGAATCATTTTAAATGTTCCTTTCTATTTAATTTTATAGCTTTTATTCATGAAGCATCATTAAATCTTATTGTTTTCCCAGCTTAAGTTTGTAATTCGTCGCACAGGAATGGCTTCCACGCAAATTCGGTATTAAAAGTAAATTATAGTGAGATAGATGCATTTGGATGAAAGTAAAATGTGATATTTATATGGATCATGTGGCAACAGGATGTATCAAGGTTGTACGACTACCATCCACATTTCTGATGTACAAATTATTTTCTCAGACCTTCTGTAGGGCAGCAGACAGTCCATGGTAAAATGTGTTGAACTGCTGAACAATGGTTGCTCTGAAAAAAAAAACAGGCGCGGATTTTTATTGGAATCAAATAAAATTAGTAAAAATTTGAATTTAATTGATAAATGTTGTCTAAGAAATGTTGAAAAAGATTAAAAGTAAAAATCACATGTAAGTTCTTAACTAATTTCATGTTAAGACTGCAAATATATCAAAAGTATGATAAAGTATCAAATATATGCATAAAAAGGAGAGAAAAAATGGCCTAAAATATTTTTAACTTTAAAAATAAATTTGACGCTTGTTAGAACGACATCTCGCATTCTAAAGAAAAAGGATGTTTTAACGAGTGATCATTATGATAAAAGTAGATTTAACATAATTTCATCAGATAGGAAATTTTTGCACAAAGAATAATAGCTATGATCAGTGGTCGTTTTAGCGAGCATCGTTATATCATCCAGAATACTGTACATATATTCAGACTTTATACAGTATATCGTTTTGCAAACTCATCTAAAATTGAATAATAAAAAATGTTTTAGTTAATTTAGTATGCATGATAAACGATCAGCTCAAAAAGCGTTTATTTTTCAAGAGATTTTTTAAAGAGTTTTATTACGCAATAAAATTAATGACAGTTATGTTCTCTAGTTGGCGCATCACCCATCTCAAATCACAAGCCACAAATCCGAACGATTGCTTTATTGACGTTGAAGACGTGTTAACACTACGCAAGAACCAATTCTAATCAATATAATTCTACAATATATTATTTGTTATTTAAAATTACGATATTATGGTTGGTTTACAGCGGCTTTCAAGAATTATTGCTCTTCTTGCGCATGCAGGCAAAAGAATGCTCATTACTGTATTTCCTGGAAGGTTAAAAAATCTTAGATTCAGATCTTAAATGATATGGAACAAAAATTAATATTTATTGAGCAATAGCTATTCTAACTGCTATAATATTATAAAATATTATTACAATTTCCGAATTGCGATTCTTTCACAACGACGCTTTTGAATATGAGCTAATTTCCCTGAGAAAGCTTTCCACGGATGCTCTCTTCCTTTAGGAAGATTGTCCTCATATGCTTTGCCATATTCAAACAAGCCAATGAACACAACGGCGTTCACAAAATTATAGTTCGCACAACGCATGCAAACAGACGCCTGATGACTGCATTTTCTGGGGAGCTGATAGAGCGCAGATTCTGCTACTAAATACTGTGATATTAAATAAGATTTGTTGCTCGCATATTCAGGCAAAAAAATGGAGGTGACTGCATTTTCCGGATGAAGGATGGAGCCTAGAATCAGCTATTAAATGCTGTAAAATTCTGTAATCTTCGCTCGCCAATAGCTATTATGATTGGTATGATACAATCAAACATTATCAGCTGTTTGTAACATTATTTTTAGAATAATGTTAAATTATTTTTAATTTTAAATTATTTTTTCATTATGTTTAGAATTGTGGTTCTTTCACAACGGCTTTCAAGCATTATTACACGCACTGCAGGCTAACAAAGGCCATGACTCCATTTCTTGGGAAAGAAGGATCGAGCCTAGTGTTAGCTGTTAAATGCTACAAAAAGTTTTAATATTCGTTGAGCAATAGTCATTCTGACTGGCATAATATTACCAAACATTTTTTGCCATTTAGAATTATGGTTAATTCAAAACACGTTTAAGACTTGTTGTCTACGCATGCAAACATAAATGATCATGATCACATTTTCTGAAAAAAAAACGAATTCCGTTGAAACAGAGAATTCTTTTAATAACTGACGTTTTCATGCTGAAGATGAAGAAAATGCGAAAGTCTAAGTTCATTTCTCTCACGATGCGATTATATGTAACTACAACATTCCCTAGGCCTGCTGTGTTTGTGTGAGTGATTAGAACGACTAGTTGCAACTGAAAGATCCTGTATTCGAATATCGGTGACGGCATAGTTGATTCTTAACGTTTCCTACTCCAATCTTAATATATTCTAGAGGATTACTTAAATTATCCAGAATTCTGACTCAAATACAATTTCAGAAATTTTAACGAACACTTAATTGCAGTTGTTCAGATACATATTTAGTCCAATCAGTGAAATAGTATGTATATTCAACATTAGCTTTCTTTTTTAGATATATAAAAGCATTTTTTTTTGTTGTTTCATGTTCTTCACATGATCCTGAAAGCTGAGATTTAAAAAACAAATTCTGAAATAATTTCATTCCTAGCTGAATGAGTTAGAAGAGTATACCAACTTTAAAACTGTTCGAAACTAATAAGAAGAGCTTATTTTTAACGTATTAAAATGCATGGCTTCATAATAAGTTTTGAAGACCTTATTTTTAATGTATTAAAATAAAATGACTTTCATAATAAATTCTGATTATCTGAACATTTTTGTAAAAATATTTCGCAGTATTTAACTTGAAATAACAGCAATTCATTACTTGTTTAAGCAAAAGAATATAATTAACATACCTAGCATGATGACCATAGTTTAAGGTATAAGTTTACAGAAACAACTTTTGTTTTGAGTCTTCATTTTTTTTCCACCGATCGTTCCAGCTCAACTTTAGTATGAAGTAAGCAAACATAATGCGCATTAAAGGAATCGCAGCAGTCGTTGATACGAATAGGGAACAGATCAGCTGGTAGCCAGCGCGCCTGCTGCGGCAGTTCACTGCAATAACGAACAGGCTGTACTCGAAAGTTGTTGAGTCAGCTGGTTGCTAATTGTAATCAAGGTAAAGCACGTAAAGGCGCCTTGTACTGACATCTGAAATCTACATCTGCATTTACCTCTCCTTCGCGTTAGCTAATACACACGCGTGTGCAAAATGAAGATAAATGGAAAATTATGTCTATTTTTAAGGAAAACATTTGAACCAAAGGTACTAATTATGCCGTCGAAGTGTTATTAAAATGTTCAAAGTCGAATGCGAAACCATACGCGTGCGTGTCTGCGTAGCTATGGTTGTGGAGGGGATATAAACGCACGAGGGGCTTTCGGAAATTTAAGTGCTCCTAATCCATTACGACATTCGCCTTGTTTCTCGCAAGAGTTAGGTACATTTTATAAGGTATTAGTAAAATGAGTTACCAATTTTATAAGATATCAGGTAAAATGAGTAGCCACGAACGTATGGATGGTGGAATGAAGATGCAGAATTGTCGGCAGATTGGAGTCAGGTCAGTCACAAGCACAAGCGGCTACTGAGCTCAGCGTTGTCTCAATGTAACGGCCAGTGTCATCTGCAATTTATGGAAACAGTTTCAGGACACTGGAGCCTTATCGAGAAAGCCTGGACAAGGTCGACAAGATCCACAAGGTCGAATTAGAATCATTATTTGATAATTTCAGCGCTGAGACGCAGCAATGGTATAGCTTCACAGCTCTCACATAACCTGTATGCTGTCACTGGAACCCGAGTTTTACGGTCTACATTTGCCAGAAAGCTTCTTGAGATAGAGCTGTATTCCAGAGGATCCGCTATTTGCGTCACACTCACTGCAGCACATGAGAGCGGGTTAACATGGTGCAGAAAATATGCATCTTGGACCAGACTTCAGTGGAGATCTGTGCTTTTAATAGATGAGTTGAGATTCAGAATGGACACTGTTTCTCGGCGTACCTTTCTCTGAAGAGAGTCTCGAACATTATACTATCTCTCCTTCATCAGGAAAAACGATCATTACGATGGTGGAGGTGTAATGGTTTGAGTAGGCATTATGTTGGACGGCCGCACACTCCTCTATGTGTTTGACAAAGGTTGTCTGAGTGCTATGAGGTATAGAGAGGAAATCGTAGGGCATTATATTCGACTTACCAGGGCCGCAATTGTTCCTGGGTTCCTGTTAATTGACGACAGCTTTCATCCATATGCTTTCGTCCTCAGCTGGTCGACGATTACCTGGAAAATGTAGATATTTGTCGCATGGAATGGCTAGCCAGATCCCCTAATCTTAACACTATAGTGTATGCCTGAGACGCTTTTGGGAGCGCAATTTCATCTCGTTGTCCTCCTTCGAAAACTATCTCGGAGACTCCTTTGCTGTAGGAGTGATATCGACTGCCATAGGGACCCCTCAAATACCTCCTATCTAGTATACCGTTACGCTGCGCGACCTGTCTCGCTGTGAGACGGGAACATGTGCCATATTATACTCATTTTCAGTTCGATATCACATCGTAGATTATGGACATTCTTGCTCTGTGAGCTTTATTAATAATCATGCGTACATAAAAATGACTTTTTGAATGATACATAGTTTTGTTTGTTATAAATGTGCATTCATTCCGAATTTAATCAAAATATGTCCATTAGTTTCTCAAAAATTCGATATATTGTATGAACTTTTGTAATAATGTTTTTATTCAAAATGATATAGTTACCTAAATCGAACATTTCCAGAATCCTGAGGAGCAACCCACACAAGTGTAGCTGATTTCTTGTCTCTGTTATCACTGTGAGACATACTTGCACATTCAAATATTTTCTTCAAACCCACACCTTCTAAAAATTCCCCAATGGTATTATTTGTTCTTGGGTCATAAGCTTGTACCATCATACCCTTGAAGGGAGTACCTGCTGGAGCCTGGACATACACTAGAAATAATAGTACATTTTTAGAATATAGTTTTGAAATTGGTATTTTCAGAGCTTGTCAATACAATGCATGTCGCAACAAGCTATTACTTACTATTCATGTCGCAACAAGTTATGTTAGCTTGCTGTAGTGGTTTGAGAGATTGTCGTTTCTGAAATAATTTCATCTTAGTTTTAACTATCTAACTAAATCTTAACATTACTTACTAACAGGGCGATTCCAAAACAATGTACCTACTTCTAATGATTAACATTTTATTTTTAATAATATATCTAATTGATATTATTTGTAGCATATCTAATTGATTATTTTTATGAACATTTGACCATTAATTAACCAAAAACGATGTTTCTAATGCTTTTTATTACTTATTCAGGTTTAGAAGAATGGCTGGAGCATCGCATACAATTTGTGATACACCGACTCTAATTTTTCGATTGTAATATAACTCATTTGTCCTACGGTAGAAAATTGCTACTGAGTTAAAGTAAACCGAAAGTAACAGTCATTCCATTCTTATGAGATAAGAGCGTTTCAATTAAGAAGAAAAATACTTGCCCAAATGAATTTGACCAAATGAATATTGATTTAGTCCTTTTGAACTGAAGCGTCTAACGTATTTATGAAATAATTTCATATCGTATGGTGTTTGCTTAAACATAGTCATATAGCAAACTCTTGTTAATAATAGGCTTCAAAAATCGTTTCCGAAATAAATAATTATTTCTCATCTCATTTCAAAGCTCTAAGAAAAACAATTAAATCATATTTGAGAATCAGATATATTAGAATCTTATAGGACGTAAGGGTCTACTTTATAATTTATGGAAACTGGAATTTTCAATTCCTTTTTAGGAAAGTATACTAATGCATAAAAGGTAGTTGCATCAGTTAATTTTGAAAAGGATATAAAGATAGTAATACAAGAACTTAACTGCATGTTAGTATTATAATTAGATAGCATTTCCTGAAATTGGATGATATTGAGCTACATTAAAAGGCAGATTTGATAGAAACCTCTAACCTAAGAGCTTGAAATAAGGCTGAAGCATTATGAGTAGCAACCTACAACATACTAGTAAGTAAAGAAAGTGTCAAGAATCAATTTTGAAATAACGGAACGCTGATTTATCTTCTGCTATATTTTTTAAGTGTTAAGGTAATTAGTTATTCAGGAAGTTAAAAAAATATTACTAAATTAGTCAAGTAAAATCAGCCTTAAAGTTGTGAAAGAAATTTCAAATTTTATTTAATTGATGCAACTAACCAGAAAATTCGTTTTATTGTATTTTTTGAGGAAAGAAATAATTAATAGTCCTCAGGTCATACGCCGCTTGTAGTATCCCAGTAATGAATTATATCAAATGTGATTGTTTCCATTTATTATACATTTTTTATTAACGTGTTTTCTTTCAATTATTACACATTTCTATCGACAGTAGAGTACAGTTTATGATACCTTCAATGGGCATTACTGTAGACTGTACGTATGTTTACAGTAGATTCCTTACTCCAAGGTCAACCTGGAAGCTATAAAGCTGTCATAGCAATTATTAGTATGACATAATTAAATATCAGAAATCCTGAAAAGGCCAAGAAATCATCCATAATAAAATAGCATTTAAAATGCCAGTTTTTAATCCCAGCAACGATATCAATGTGCTTTCAAAGACTTTAGAAGACAAGGCGTAGAGATAGAAGTTTGAGATTATTCATTATGATATAAAAATGCAGGAAATATCACATCCGGTATGTTTGATAACATCGATAGCAGAAGTATTACATTTTTACGTGAAGTGAGAAATAGTAAGTTAACACATTTATCAAAAGAGAGAAATTGTCCTACAAACTAAACTGCTTTTAAAGAACCAAAAATAGCTCCATAACGGTGCTTCATGAAATTGTGTTGCCAGAGATATTAAAAACTCTCAGTTTAAGAAAATTGATATTCACAATCATTCTTAAGCATGCAGCATTTCATTATTAACTTGAAAAATAATACTAACCTATTACTTGGTCACCTGGTCTGTAAGAATCTGTCGACTGAATGAAAGAGTAAGGAGAAAGGTGAGCTGGTTGAGGTCTGTTATTGCCGTGTTTGGGAAGCATGGCTTCGCATGCTTTACTCGGTGCTCCTGTCGGCCACCCCGCAGCCAAAGGAATGAAGGCAAGAGAAACCAACAACAAAGCTCTCAGCATCGCTGCACAGCAAACTAAAATCAAAACTTTGTATGTATTTACAGGAAAAATGGATTAATAAAAGGTATTCAAAACATATATTAATAAGATCAGAATTAAAATAAACATATTAAATAAACTTGACATCTTGACCACCTTGTTGACATGGTGTTATGGAAGCCTGCTGGCATAGTGGTAAGGGTACTATAGCACATTGCCTGGGCCTAATCACTGAGAAGACATGGATTTTTGTAAGTGCATAGTGTCTTTGCAGCATGGGGCATTTTGAAAGTTCTATCCAGAGGTTTGGTAGTGAGAGAATAGGAATAGGATACCCTCTCATCCGTCCGTTGGAAGAAGTATATAGTGTCTTTGCGGCGTAGGGTTACTTAAAATACCATCGAATTGAACCTTTGGAATTGAGCAGATAACCTTTGGGTGCTTTGCCATAATCAAATAAAACAGACCAAACTGATCTGAAGAAATTCATTCCCCCTTCTTAAGCAGATACTCCTAGCATGATTTGCCGTAATTCAAATAATCTAACCAACTATTCAAAATTCACAAGTCTTCCGAATTCCAATTTTTCAGAACTCTAATTATCCGGTTAGCTTCGTTTCTTTCAAGGCAAGCAAATAAGCTTACTGCTGTTTTATTTATAACTTTCTCTAACTTGTTTTTATCATTTTGATAATTCCCCCTTCCCCCAAGCAATTCAAAAGAGTGCAGAATATACACGTCATATTGCAATTTTGGCGGAATATAATAACAATTCACTTTTTAGTCATGGCCGAAAATACTACTGCATAGATGATTGGGAATTGCGTCATAGTGGAAAGACCGGCTAGACTTTTAAGAAGCACAACCCAGCTTGGATTACGAATCTCTTAGCGCATATCTTCATAATTAGTAGAAGACTAGGGGTACTAAACATGCCCTGCAATTTTAGATATGCCATTACATCCTAAACAATGGAGAATAGCAAGCAGAGGCATAGATTGTCAGCAGGAAGGCGAAGTGCCAAAAAAAGAGAGAGACTTCGCAGTTGGTAGCTATTTATATTAGAAGTTTTGCCTTAATCTCATTGACTGAGGAATTATGCGCAATGCGGAGTTTATAGACTTAATTTCCAGATATGATGCGTTTTCAAATTATAAAAAAAAAGGAACTAAGAGTTAATTTAAAGTATAAAGTTACATATTAATTTTTATTTTACGTATATATATATATATATATAATTTATTTAACTGAATGGACATAATGTATTTATTTAGCTTACAGTAAAAACTAATTCATAGAAAGACAATTAATATGTTATACTCATTCAGCTCATTTAACTCAATAATGTGTTAGCACTCCCAAAACTTGCGGAATGGATAAGAGCGCTGAATAGTGCTAGTTCGACCTGGTTTCCAGTCGGACTAGCTGCGTGGGCGTTTGCTTAGTTCTCCTCATTCGTAACATAAAAATGAAACAGTTTCTCTTAAAAAATCTTTGGTAGAGAGTTCACATATGCTGCATCGGTGGTTCAGTTCACGTATGCGTTCCAATAAATTAATAAATAAAGGAGCAATAGAATATTATCACATATTATTTACCAGTCACGTAGGTTTGTAACAGCATGCTATAGCTTTTCATTTGGACAACACATAGCAAATAAGCATTAACAGGAATGTTATTGCATAGTGTATGTACACCCACCACGCTTGTTTATTGCGGCTACCATTCAGCTTCGTTTAACTTTCGTTAACAGACATAGCTTATACTTTTTCTTTTAGCCAGACGAAAGTTAGTTCCTTTGTTTAGTTTTATTGCAGTAAAAATAAAAATGAGATTTATGCTTAGTTTTACATTTTACCTAAATCTCATAAGATTTACATTTTACGAATTTAAAATGAGTAAATATTTTAGCTAATAATAAGTATGCATTATATGGTTTATGTAAAACTAAACCCATGAAACCGCATTGTTTTACTTTGCTTGAAATAGAAAAATTTTATGTATTTATGCCAAAGAAAGCGAATTTCATTGTTAAATATTGTGAAAATTAGTTTGTTTAACGGAAATAGGAATATTTTATTCCTTTGTACTTTATAATCTTGGCTGAAATAAAGCAGGCTTAAACACAATAAAATTTGTTTACATTATTACGATAAACGCCCACTCGTCGGTATTCCGATCTGATTAAAACTACCACTTTTAGCTTATCCACTCGGCCAGTAATGAACATATATATGGTCAGATATCTAGATCTTTCAACTGACTAGATGTCCTATTTAGACCTGAGAATTCGAGTTATATTGCATTATGCAGGAAGCAACGAAACTCCTTAACATTTGTGTTACCTAGCAGTATCAAAATGCGTAAAAAGAGTCGTGAACATTAAGTTGATTATTGAAAAAGATCTTAAAATAGACTCATTTTTTATAATTCGTCTCAGTTTTTTAAGGATTTTCAGTCAATTTATTTAGTATTCATCCCTTTCTAGATAATTTGTTTTTGCTTAAAGCAGATTAGGCGAATTGTAGTAAAATGCATGGTCTATATTTATGATATAAGAATTTTTTTCCCAATTTTTTTAATGTTTTTATATCTCTGGTCAAACGAGAGTACAGAACTAGCCTTAGTTTAATTGAAGAGGCCAGTAAGAGGCTCTACTTATTTAGCTAGATTCTGTGCAAGATAAAAAAGGATCATGTCCTACCGAACCACAGTTGAACGTAGTACACGATCCCACTATTGTTATTAAAATATATTTGAGAGATTGATGCTCCTAATCTTCGTTAAGCCTTCGTATTGATTTCTTTCAGAAGCTTAAGCAGACTATCTCTTGATACGTGTCGTAAGCTGTTTGTTCGATACTGTAAGCCTCTAAGACAAGCACGCTTACGTTCAGAAATTAAAAAAAATATTTACACAGCACACGGGAAGTTAAATCTTATTTACGTATATTATATTCAAGAAAGTTTTTACTTGCTTATAGATCCCCACGAATAGGAGAATAGATAAGGAAGTAACTCAGATTTTTACACGTTGTTTTCTCGACAGGGAGAAAAACCTACTCTTTTTGGGATCATTTTAGTGAAAATATGAACAGATACTTTGGATTAACGAAAAAGCGCACTTTGGATTAAAATTCTTTGGTGAAAGATATTATTGATAAAATAAATCCTAATAAAAGCGCTTTAGTACATAATGTGTAATGAAGTTTTGTTTTTACATGCTGGCCGGAAAATCAACTGTTTGTGCCGAAGCCAGGATCTTTTTTGAAGTTATAAACAGAATGCAGATAGGTATTTTTCCTCAGTAACTATAACGGAAAGCCATTCAGAAGTAATAGAATAATCTTAAATTTGTCAAGATAATTTAAAGCAGAAAGATAAGTTGCTTCGATTTTCAATTTTTATAGGAAGAAAAACACGGCCTTGTCAGATTTAAAATTGGGAAATACACAGCAGTTAAGCAGCTTTTAAAACTGAGCAAGAAATGCAGTTGAAGAAATTTATTCTTTTGCTGTAAATGGGATTTATCAGATTACGGCAAGGTACTACAAGAGCTATCTGCCTAAGGGAAGGTATGTCTTGATTCAAGGCTTTTTAAGGAAAATCATCTAACATTGATACTAGAAAAATAAATTACGAAATACAGTCATTCCCTCGCATATAATGATCAGCAAGCAGTACACTATGCCACTAGTCGGTTTATTTTATAAAGATGTTCTCTTTTTCTTTTCAAGAAACAAAATCTGTTTAAAGATACTTTTCAAGCATCGTCTTTCTTTGCATTAAAAGAATAAACTACTCTAGTATTCAGCTTTTCTGGGCAATGTCTTTAAGCTGCCGAGTAGTTAAGACCGCTGAATGAATAATGATGAAGAATGCATGAATAATGAATAATGATAATTCGACCAGATTTCAATCCCAGGTGAAAGAGACTGGCTGCATGGTTAGTTTCTGTGGTTTTATCCAAGCCCAGTTCACTTAGAAATTCCTCCACAAAGAAATCCCTCCCACTAGGCAGATAGCCTTCGTATATTTGCCATATTAAATAACATAACCTCTAAGCAGCCACGGTCTCCAATAATTTTTAGGTGAAGTAAATACAAATACATAAAACACAGCAAAGCATATTCCAAAATCTTTAACAGAGCATCAAACTGATCGAAAAAATACTAAAATTACGCTAAAAATGAATGAATTGTGTTTGAATAAAAGAATATGCTAGATTTAAAAGAATATGCTACTTTAAAATACAGATTATTCGACGTTCCGTTTTATCCAATATAGGACAAAATTCGAATTTAACAAGAAAACTGATTTTTGTTTCTATACTACTTACGTATTTTTTTTTTCAAATTACATTGCTAGTGTTTTTTTCTAATAAGTCTATTCCGTAAAAATAATAAAAAAAAAACTATCCACCAAGAAAATTGCACTCCGATCTAACAGTGAATTTGCACCATGCATTCTTCACGCTTCTTTTTTTTTTCTTGGGTGGGGGAAAGTATTGTTTCCAGTTGTGTTGTATTAGGATAAGCGTTTGAGTTTAGGCTCAGCGTGGATCGCCACTGACTGTGATGATAAATCATCTGAACATTGGTAGTTCTTCTAGGATAAAAATCTTGATGAAAAGACTGGTTGCATGAGAAAATTTTAGTTGTTCTCATGTAAAATATGGCCCACTTTCCTTTAGAAGGTCCTCCTTGAAAACAAGCCTTTCCTTGGGCTAGTGTGCTTTGTCGTATTTAAATAATCCTTTAGTTTGTGTGCTTCTTCTTCGATTTAGCCCTACCAAGTGATAATGAATTACAGTGCTGGTTGTTTCACTCAAGTTCGAATCTCAGCGAACAGGCTACATTCATGGGTATTTTCATAGTTTTCACCGTGTGAAACATGAATACGAGCTAGTTTCACTAAGAACATCCGCCATATATTAACTTGAATATGAGGTAGTTACTTCTAGAATTCCTATCGCCAAACCGTCGATTGCGAGCTATTAGTAGCTCGCGGAACATTTTCGGTAGATCGCGTTAACC